AAATCAAGACTTTCGACAACCACGCCAGTGCATCGCATATGTCAATCATCTGCCGAATATCATGCAACTTCCTTGGTAACGGCTTGGATCCCGGGAATATGGCCTGATTTCGAAGATAGACATCTAGGTCGGATCTCGCCAACTCGAAGTACATACTTCTGACTGCTAGCGGGCCACCAGACCCATAGATGATGCTTCCGAACGCAGTTGCGATGTTTATATGACGCGTTCGCGTTCCCGCAAAGGCCTTGTAAACGTCGACCTCTTTTTGGTAAACAGAAACCTTGTTTTGTGCTTGGTCTATGGTATCAACGTGGAAATCTTTCCGTGCTATTTCCACAGTCTTTTCGAATTAGCTACGTTACGGAAGCGGAAAGGGGGATGAATGCACCTCTGAGTCTGGGGCTGTCGTATCTAGCCTTTGATAATATTTGGCTGCCACCGTAACTTTATACACTTTTCCTGACGAACCCCCATCTAGGGAAACCTCTTTCTCATAAGGCATTCTTGAACGTTCATCGATGACGATGTCAAATTCCTCCTCTTTGATGGTAGGGGGGAAGAACAGATATTGTGCTTCACAGAGTCTGTCTACGTCCCTCCCGCTCATGCAAAACACAGAGAACACTTCCCTTGGAAGGGGTAGCGCCATTTCGGTAAGACTTGAAGTGTCTTCCGTAATGTATGTGCCTAAAGGCGATGGCATGAAGTCAGCACAGCTCAGTGAGAATGGACTGAAAGCTAACGTCCCATAAGTACGCGAGGCAAATAGAACAGAACGTTGTACTCGGGAAGTACGTACTGTACTGGTGGAGGATTTGTAGATACCTGCGAGCTCATGCTATCGAAGATTTTGCGCGTGTTATTGAGGCCGTACACGATCCATGATCCGGGCGGAGCCCTCCATCTTTCTGGACATTCCAGTGCGACTTTTGTATCGTCCAAAGCCCGTTGGCAATGTCTGCGGTCCTGCTGGAACTTCGCCTCCAGAGTGACCTCCATCATTGTTGTTAAATGAGGCCCTGCCGCTAGGCTGAAACTCGTTTGTTATCAAGGATATGTTGTGCAAAGAGGCCGATTGGTTTTGTGATAGAGATGTGTAGTTGCTGTCGCCAATGCGCATTGGGTGTTAAAGCAAAGTTGTAAAGAAGCGAGACACCCTACAGCAAGAAAGCCGTCTTTGCATTGGAAACGAAAGAAGGCATCCTTCGTGCATGGTGGCCTAGGCAATCATACTGCCGCTTAATAGGCTCCGAACCAACAGCCACACCTTCGTATATGCATAAGGAAGCGGAGTCACATGCTGAGATAACGAATGAAAGAGACTCGAGGAGAGGCGCCGTAACAGAGCAGCCCCCACATCATCAGCGGCTGTCATCATGTCCTAATCCGCACCACTTATCAATACCCACATCTCTTGTTTATCAGGGCGTAGTATAGCTTATCAAAAGATGTAGAGAATGTGTTTTTGATGCTTGCCCTACGCGTCTTGCACTCTTTTGCCTCCATTGGCGGCAAAACTCCGACTCAGCCTAAAGTGTGGCGCTGTAAGGCAAATGCACGAGGGCTGACCAAGAGGGAGATGGGCCGACACGCTTCGGCCGCACCCTTACGACGACGGCGATACGTTCTGCCGTCGTCCAAGTAGAAGGAGCCACGATTGTATAACACGACCATCAATTGGCGGGAGGTGCAATCTATGTAGCGGGTGCTAAGAGTTCTTGAGCGCAGGAAAGCAAGATTCGTCGAGAAGAAGTTTCGATAAAGCGGCGTCGTTCTACATGCGGAGCGGTGGCGAGTCGCCTCGAGCTGGCACAGGGTGGACTGTAGACGACTAGATACCGCGAAGCATCCAATATGGCAGGAAGTAGCAGCGCCCCAGGGTAGGAGAATGGTGAGGAATGTTATGATCTCACTATGCCTGATTCGTCACATTAAGAGCTTACCTATGGTATGCTTCTTACCACTTCTCCACGAACATCTCTCCATGCAACATAGCCAAGCTCGCATCATCCCTCTCCGCCCACTCCTCCCACGCCTTCGCCATCTCTTCAAAATCATCATCAGCACCTAGCCCAAACTTCAAGGCTTTTTCACGCATACCGCCTCCTCTGAGCTGCTCGCACAGCCCCTGGGCTAGAGTGAAACAAGCTATTAGTGCCATGATCAGAATCACAGAAAGCAAAGCAAAAGAATAATAAAACTTACAGCAGCACTTCCTCTCACCCTCTGTACTGTACGACGACGTACCCCAACTAACCTCCACCCTCCCCGCTCAACCCCAGCTTCCTCGCCCAAGAAACAAGCCGCCGTCCTGCATCCGGGGTCCCCCACCAGCACGCATAAGACCCGCCATAAGCTTGTGGAATCTCCCCAGCGCAGGAAGTCCAGGCCACACGCACTCGCTCTCATAGTCGCCTTCGCGCGCCGCAACGACGCCACCTCGCTTCGTCACTCGCAGCATCTCGCGCAGCGCGTCCCACGGGGTACCTATGTGAATGAGCACCTGGTGGCAGAAAGTAACGTCGAACGTCTCGTCCGCAAAGGGCAGCGCGAAGACGCTGCCTTGTTCGAAAGAGATGTTGGTGACGCCGGCGGAGGCAGCGTTTGCACGTGCGCGGGGAGGATGGAGGCGTTGAGGTCGAGGGCTGTGACGTGGCCGTGGGGAGGAGCTGGGCGAAGGAGAGGGAGATGGTGGCTGAGCCGGAGCCGACGTCTAGGAGGTTGAGGTTGGGGTTGGAGTCGCGGAGGAGTGGAGCTTGGGGAGGAGGAAGGCGGCGCTGTTTTGGGCTGTTCTGATTTCGTGGAGGGATGCTTGGGCGGGTGGATGGGTGGACGAGGAGCTGGGGGTTGGGGTTGGGACATTGTTGGTGGTAGGATCTAAAACAAGAATGGGAACAGAGGAATCGGCAGGTTTGGAATCACTTGGAACAGTTTCTAGAATATGTTGCGTTAGGATCTCCTTCTTACATCTTATTATACTGTGGTGCGATTCGGTGTTTCGGTGTTTGAAGGATCTGAGCCTTACCCAATGCGGTAATCCTGTTACCGAAATGCAGGGTCCAGAGTGAATTGGAACAGCATGTTCCAGTGCACATATTGACTGACTAAAGTCTTCCAGTAGGTTTTTGGTGGCAGGAGTTGACAAATCTGTTGGCCGATATTCGAGCACCTCTTGCAGGAAGAAGACAAGATACTCGCCTTTTTAGCTGCAATTTAACGCCCTTTCCATGTCAGCAACGTATTGGCGCGGCTCGTGAGATCGATACGGATGCTGTCCAAGGACTGCGCGTTCGTGCCATCGCCTTGGAAAAATGGCAACAGTGAAGAAGACACCGGCAAAGAGCACACCGAGAACGAACAACGAACGGTCCACTTCGAACGGAATCCAGGTACTACTATTACTCAAAATCTTCAAGTGAAGAGCTCGACAATGTTGTTGAGATGACGGGCCCTACTCAGAGCTTCCTGGAATACGTTGTCGAGCGATCGTTGTTTTGCTTTGCCCCAAGATGAACATTTCCATCATTGTCACTACGAATGTTGAAACATTCTTTGAGGGACAGGTACACGTAAGAATGCCCGTACCATGAACGAAAGCTCATGGTCACTATAGACCATTCAGTATGTCGACATCTAAAGAAGTTGCCTGCAACTTTGTCTCCAATGTCAGTCCATAATCAAGGTCTAGAGCGGTACATTATAGTGAGATACACACTCTTGGGATGGCTTCCGAGATTTCCCTAGTTGTGACTAAAAGCTTGGCCGAACCACTGTAGGGAGAAGGTACTCGCGAATGGATCCCGCCATCGTATTCCAGGGGAGCACACGACGCAAAGACTTTGGTATTGCCACTTCGTAGAGTTTACCACAGCCTCCCGCAGCCGCTTTGTGTCACCACAGTTTTCGACACTACGGAGCTTTGCGGAGATGAGGGCCATACGTGCTTTTCGTCTCGTATTTGCTCTGCTACGGTGATGCCTGTTCTGTAGCGCATTGGTCGTCGTCTCGTCACGATCCACGCAGCCTTCGATCGATGAGCGACAATGGTGATGATGCTGCAATAGCCATGTTTTCTTTTCGTGTGTGAAGTCGAAGGAAGCGTGGCTCGGCCGCACCGCGCCTCGGAGAAAAGCAAGCCCGACGCAGCGAACCGTGGTTCTTCAGCTGTCAAAACTGCAAATGTTCACATCAGGCAACGGGCTGCGCATGGCAAAGTTCTCGAATAGTGGGACGCTTCCGTAGAGCCGAGTGTTTCCCATCTCATCTCCACCGCATCTCCTCGCGAGGACCCATCGCGTGGCGGCGCAAGGGCTCGGCGGGAGACCAACGCGGGATCGGCGTGCCCGTGCGTTGCGCCAGGACAAGGCGCCACACGCGCGGCTTCGGTTCTCAACTTGCCGCTGGGTTCGTGGACTCAGACGTCGACTCTTCAAGCAATATACAAGACAACTGCATGCGCGCAGCCCGCGTCGGTAAGACAGCGCGCCTTTGTACACCTCGAAAACCTCCCTCGCCCGAACGTCGCCGCGCATATACATAGTCGGAGCGGCGGCCCCCTGTCGCGTCTGCTCCCGTCGTACGATTGTGGCCTGACTTCGAGAAACAGCGTCTGCCCATACGCGCGGAGCAGCCCTCCCGCACCCACTGCCGCGCTGCATCTGGCCGTCCTTGCATCGAGCCCTCGAGCCCCGGCCGCTGCAGTCATCGCGAGCGCTCGAGTGCTGTGTTGCGCCGGCTCCACCCCTGGACCTCTGTTGGAGCATTCGCTGCCGACCAACGCACCTCTTCCCGCCTGCATATGGCCTGATAGTAGCAGACGCCCTCGCATTGCCTGTTGGTAAGAGCTGCCCCTCCCTCCGCCGTCTAAGTGCATGTGGTGTTGCTGCGCTGCATTGTGCCTGCCTCTGCCCTTCTGCCCCCCATACCCGCGCCTTGTGTGAGCGGTCCACTTCCGCTGCCCGCAATAATGGCGTCGACATACGAGAGCGATCTCGATGATGGCCTGGAGCTCGAGCGGATTGCCGTATGTGCTCGCGGGAAAACACGTTGCGTCCACTCAAGCAGTGCTAACCGCTCCCAACCTACAGGTCGGCCCGTACTGCGTCTTCGACTCGTTCCGGCCATCCTTGAGCCCCCAGCCGAGCGGCACCCACCCGCCGCACACGGCCAGCAAAGCGAAGATGGAGGACCCTTTGATGGCGAGCGCGATCCAGTTCGAAGCAGCTGGAATACGTCCACCATGGCTCACTACCGCACCCGATGACTTGCCGCTGCCCGCGCCGAGCGATAATGTCGCGGCGCCCAGTTGGAATGACTTTATGACATGGGACCCCAACGTGTCTCAGGGGCCTGACTTGAAGCTTAGTGGCCCCGCCTGCCCTCTGAAGCCTGAACTCCAGCGCCCTCCGCTCTTCAACCGCAGACATAATTCACACTTGCGCGACCCCTCCCTCGCCGTACAGGGCAGCAACCCGCCTTCCACCGCTGCCATGCCACACAATGCACCCTTCACCTTCGGCGAAAATTCCGATCTGCCACCTGCTTTCGACTTCGACGGTCAAACGCTTAGCTCTCCGCCGGTTGACGGCCAACATCACGGCAACTTCTACCCGACTCAGATGGCGTGGCCGCAACAAATGGGCGAGAATACGCTGTTCTCACCTCCTAGATTTGAGCCCACCGCTCTCCCGTCAGCTTCCGTGCCGCCGCTGTCGAATCCCCCGAGCCTGCATCACAGTCACAGCCCAAGCTCAATTCACAATGCAAGGACCAGCTCTTCATCAGGCCACACAACACCAGAACCCACATCCGACAATCCCAAGAAGCGAAAGTCGTCGACCGACGAGGACTCAGCACCATCAGGGAAGAAAGAGAAGCATCAACCGCCCAAGAAGACAGCGCACAACATGATCGAGAAACGTTATCGAACAAACCTTAACGATAAGATCGCGGCACTGCGCGACAGTGTACCGAGCTTGAGGGTAATGTCTCGTGGGGCTGGCGCAAACGAGGAGGATGATGATCCCGAGGACCTCGAGGGTCTCACGCCAGCTCACAAGCTTAACAAGGCCACTGTGCTGTCCAAAGCAACCGAGTACATTCGACATCTCGAGAAGCGAAACAAACGTTTACAAGATGAAGTCACAACGCTGCAGGGACGAATAGAGAGATACGAGAAGATGGCAATCTCTGGACCTATGACACTGCACGGCCCAATGGGTACACCGGATGGCGGCAGGTATCAACAAGATGACCCCTTCACACCTTCACATAGCATGTCCATGTCTGGACCACCTCAAGGAATGATTCCAGTGCCGGAGCACATTGCACAGATGCGCCAGGGTCTTCCACCACAACCACACTATGCAGCCGCATACCCGTCTTATGCCGGTGGCTCGCGTCCTGGCCCACCTATGGTCAACGGCCGCCGGAACAACAGTATGGTGGGCAAGCTCATGGTTGGATCTCTTGCCGGTCTCATGATACTAGAAGGACTCGTGGAGCGAGAGCAGTCACAAGAGGAGTCCGACGGCCGCGGACTGTTTGCTTTGCCTTTCAACTTCGCTGCTATCCTCTCTCCTCGCGTTTCTCTGGGCGCTACCAGCGCACAATTCCCCCTGGCCAAGCTCTTACTGATATTTGGCGCCGTCTTCTGGATCATCGCGCCGATGTTCGACTTTAGCACAAAGCCTAAGAAGAAGACAGCGAGTACGATACTTCTCGCTCGTGCACCTTCGCTAGCATCACCCGTGGAGGTACGGCAACGGGCATGGCTTACGGCGATACAGACCGTATGGGTACCTCGACACAACTTTCTTCTTGAAGTGGCAGCTTTGAGCCTCAAGACATTGAAACTTAGCACACGCAAGATCATCGGATGGCCATACTACGCCTTCCTCTCCGGTACAACAAAAGAGCAGGAAGCTGCAAGAGTCAAGGCCTGGACCATCGCATTGGATGCACAACTTACAGGTGGTGATGCTGAGATCAGCAAGAGCCGGCTGATTTTGACCCTCATGGCATCTGGCACATTGCCAGACACGCCCGCGCGACTAATGCTTAAGTCTTTGCATCTACGGGTACTCCTGTGGGAGCTTGCCAATGCAGGCCACGGCCTTTCTTGGATCATGGGCCATCTGAGCGCTAAATTGGCTCGACGATACTGGAATATGGCTCGGACCGAGCACCGCATTGCAATCAACCTTGCGACGAAACCGCATAGCGACGCCGAACCACTTCCGGACTATTTGGCTGCATTGCTGGAAGAGGAATGCGATGAAATTTTCGACTTCCAGATCATTCAGCGCGCGTACAACCTGGCTTGGAATCGCCCTGTCGCGGAACAAACAACTGCGGATCCTTGCATGGACGGAGTAGTCGGAGACTTTGCCATCTCATCTCCATTGGATGCACTGGCAGCATGGTACTCTAGCTTCCTACTGAGACAGACGTTGGCCGAGTCTCTGAAGGACGGAAAGATCACAGAGTCGATCGGTGACGCGCTAAACTTGGCTGCCCGTACTGCTCCTCCAAACTCCCAAGCGCATCTACGAGCACTTGTCGCGAAAGCTGTAGTACTTGACGATGACAGGACAGCCCACATCGCCACTGCCTTTGCTGCGCTACCGACACCTCCATCGACCACATCATCTTCTAAGACAGCACTGATGAATCTGGTGTCTGGTGCTCCAGCGGCAATTGACGTTCGGAAAGCGCTTACTCTGGCGAAATGCCTCACGCTGGTCGACTCTTCCAACCTTGAGGCCCGCCGCCAGGCCATCTTCGTCGTGAACAACACATATCTCTCCGAGGCTACAACTACATTACTCAGCTTTGTTGCTGGCCACAAAATCCTCGAACGGTTCGTCCAAGACCCTGCACTGCAGGCTGAGACTACCCATGGCCTCGAGCGTCTCGCTGGATCACTTCGCATTTGGGTGGGACATGACACGGGCCGTCGTAGCGGTCTTGATAACAAGACTCGGGGACGCATCGTGAAGCGGTACACAGACGCGAGCAGAATGCTTGTCGGTCTAGCTGACCGGGAAGATTTCGATCCCGGTTACTTCAGCTCCAGTGTCAAGGATGACGATACTTCTTCTTGATATTCCAGTCTATTATTTTTTTCTACGCCATCGTTTTTTTGGGACGATGAGCCATGCGATATCCTAAGGAGTTGGTCTCAGTGCATCTCGAGCATATTCGCAGCACATTTACGGCGTTTGGGTCGGTCTCATGAAAGCCACATCGTTTGGTCGAGGGCATATCATGAAAGATTTACGGCAGCAAGTGCCACACTACTCACATACTCTTCTCGTACTCTTTAAATTCGTGCGCGTCCAACAGGACGTTTTTACATATTTGAAGGATAGATAGGACTGGCAGATTTGCCAGTCTGTAGTTCATGACTGATACCATGATTATAATCCGGTTGAGTTGGCTCGATAGCCTATAGACGATGATCATACCTCGCTTCAGTATCTCTTCGAACTGCACGGTGATGTTACGATCAGATAATAACCGTGCTTCGGGAGCGAGGTCAGACCTCCGACATCAGATAATCGGCATCTTATCGATACCATAGGGCTGTCGTGCCTCGGCTCCGGTCGGGAAACCACTTCCCCACACTCCACGACGCGATGCGCGACCTATATCACCGCGGCTCTTTTCTCATAATGGTGATGACTCGGTGACGACAAGTAAATACTCTTCAATCTATATGATGGCGCCTCCAAAAGCTATATTATTCGATGTCGGCGGCGTAGTGGTACGTACACTTCAATCCCCAAAACAACACTCGCGCATAAACGTACACACTACTAACGAATGGATTGTCCATAGGTCCTCTCCCCCTTCCAAGCCATCCTCGACTACGAACTCGAAAACCGCATCCCAATCGGCTACATCAACCACGCCATCCAGCAAGGCCCCCCCTCCACCGGCGCATGGCAGCTCATCGAGCGCGGCGCCACGCCCCTCAACGACGCCTGGTTCGCCGCCTTCGCCGCGCAACTCTCCCGCCCGGACGTCTGGCACGCATACTGGATCCGCTGGAGCGCGCGCGGCGGCGGGCACGCCGACAGCGGGACGACCTCCTTGCTGGGCGAGCACGTTCCCCCCGTGCCGCGCATCGACGCGAAGAAGCTGTTCTGGCGGATGATGCGGTATTCGCGACGGCCGGATGGGGCGATGTATCCTGCGCTTAAGGCGCTTCGGAGAAAGGGGGAGGGGCGGTGGGTTGTAGGCGCGCTGTCTAATACTGTGGATTTTCCGACTGGGATTGTGGACGACGAGGGGGTGCTGTTTGATAAGAGCGTCTTATACGATGGGCGGCCGGAGTGGGAAGGAGATTCTGCGAATATCGCGGATTGGTTTGATGTTTATTTGAGTAGTGCGCATATTGGGGTTAGGAAGCCGGATCCGGAGGCGTATCGGTTGGCGGTGGGGAGCTGTCGAAGGTTTCGGAAGGGAAGGGGCTGGGGAGGGTGGAGGCGGGGATGTGGTGTTTTTGGATGATATTGGGGTTAATTTGAAGTTTGCGAGGGAGGTGGGGTTGAGGACTATAAAGGTTGATTTGGTGAGTTGAGTAAAAGGGGAGGTATGGATGTGAGAATAAATGCTAATACATTTTAGGGAGAAACAAAGGCCGCGGTGAGGGCGTTAGAGAGGGAGGTGGGTGTTTCGTTGATGGAGGAGAGGAGTAAGCTGTAGGGGTAGGTACGTTAAGCGTAATCGTCATGACTAGTCATCGCAGAGTGAAATTAGGTCTAGAACCCAGTCGCGGGTGTATATAAACTATCTGTGAGTGCTTTGAGATGCTGCCAACGTAGTAACGCTTACACGTGGAAAAGCTGCGAAGACCCCCTGAGGCTGGTCGGAAAGAGATGGATTCATAACACAGGCGAAACTGAAGAAATCAAGCATGAAAGGGCCGCAATGGAATCTCGCCACCTTTGTTGTAATGCATCCGGGTGTCCCTATAGATCTTCTCTGATCGAAGAACGGTGGGCGCTTACTGAACATCGGAGGCTGGTGCTTTTTTCTCTGAATATTGCTTCGATTGTCAATCTTGGAAAGCGAGGCAGACGTGTTTTCGTTATTCTCGGCAAGGTATGCGGCTGCGTACGCTTGGCTCATAAGGTTACTGATGTTGTCCAGCATCCACTGGAAATCCAAAGTGGAGCGCCGATCATGATTATGCCCGCCTTTACGAAATTTTGAAGGGATGCGTCTCGCAAGGAAATTACGACTCCGCTTTCCATAGCTCCTGCATATTTTTCTGATTATCTGGACGAGCTTCTCCCTCATCAGCATTAGAGGTAAAGTAATGTTCCCTGCTAGGGAATGATTCAGGGCGACAGAATAATTCCCCTCCCGAGATCGTTTCAAAAGAAACGACCCTTGCAGGTTGAGAGAGCCTATGGGAGAGTCCGGACGCAAACGGTGCCATTCGGCGATGGAGCTGTAAATGAAGCCCAAATTCTGAGCAACCCAGGTGTTGTGTTGTGTGTTGAGGAAGTCGATCAAATTCGCGCATATACTCGGGATACGCTGACCAGACCTTTGCACTCTATGTTTGCGAAAGGAATGCGATGATAGCTCTAGTCCTTCAGCGTCGGTACCTGCTCGAACGGTTTGAATTGACGCTATGGACGCTGAATTGCACTCATTGCTTTGTAAGGTTGAACTCATAGAGGTGCAAACAGCTCGGCCGTGATTGAGAGATGTATTTATCGACGTCTCCAAGCTTTGGAGGTTAATATTGATTTGGCCGATCTCGTTGCGCAGGACGATTGCATCGTGCCTAGATGCGATCAATCAGTAAGCGTCGCAGTTGAGGTTCAGAATTTGATGGACGCACCCCGCACGAACAAGCATCAAACCTCTCAAGGCCTGCCCATGATATACCACCATTCTCACAGAGTGCCGGGTTTGAGCCTCACTGAGGGCGAAAGTAACCCCACCAGTGAGCTTTTGCAGCCAGGTCTTTTTGATGTTACGCGCACCCACTAGCTTTCGGGCCAAACCTTCGATTTGTTCACTGCAAGTATCAAGAACGGATTTTACCCGACTCGACAGAACCTGTCCGTCTATCTGTGCAAACATAGATTGCTCGTAGTCCGTCGCCCAAACGCGCACTTCCGCAACCACTGTCGCAAGGCTCTGCACAGCTGCGAGAAGTTCGGCTGCAGACTGCGGAGCCGAGAGGAAGCTTGCTTGATCAGGCAGCATAGCTCGATAGTGAAGCGAGAGACAACATCAATGAGACCAACAATGCTGATAATGCTGGAGGCTGTCGCGAGAGCCGCCATGTGAGATTTGTGAGAGGTGAAGGGAGGGGTCGAAAAGGATGCATTGAGCTCAACACAGCCCGGTCCTGTGTTGGTCGACGCAGTCTCGTATTAGGCACCGCTGCTGAGCACCCTGGTCGCTGCCTGAGGCACATACGAGCCTTGTGTAACCTCAGAAGCGTCACTACGACTTGCTCTTCCATAACCACGGCTCAAGTAGGGCGGATGACCAACGACCTATGAATCGTTGGAATCATGGGTGGTCTTCATCTGTATAGGTGCTTACGGAAAAGGTGCCCACTCCCACACTGCTAGAGTAGATTTTAGGGCGAGTACATAACCTATCGACTATCTAATTAATTGGACTGCTTAGTTAGCACTGTTCTAGCGTTTACTACTACTAATAAGTCCACCATACCTAGCACTATGTGACAAATTAGGGTGTCGAGAAAGTATATATACTCTCCCCCAAGCTATTCCAGCATTGTGGGAAGCGGCACAGGTTTTTTCTAGAAACGATAATAGGACCATGAATACCAAATATATACAAGAAAGTTACAAACCCTACACCCACTCCTCCTCCATCTCTAGAACGTATAGCTCGGCACCGAAATCTCAGCAACAGTCCACGTCTTCCCGCCATCCGCCGTCTTCATAGTGCCCGTCGCCCCGCCACTCTTATACAGCGTATTGATGTAGTTCGGATCCGCCTTATCCATGACGATCGTAGCATTCGTCCACTTATGCGCTGGCGCAGTACCGCACTTGCTCGACTGGCACTCCACAGCTGTGCCCCAGCCCTGCGCTTGGCCGCTGGCAGTGGAAAGCGTGGAGACTTGCTTGCCGTCGAGGAGGACGGTTTGCGTGTACTGCTTTGTGCTGTCGCTGTATTTGTCTGTGGATTCATACGTCAGGTGAAATGACGTGGTATGGAATGCAAGTAGTGGCTTACAGTGCGTAACGATCTGGTGTCCTGCGGTCGTCTTCGTCCGCTTGTCAGACACGGGTGTGGTCCCGCCAACGAGCGTATATGCGAAGGTCGTCCATCCGTCTTGGGGCGTGTTGTCGACAATCGTTTGAATCAGATCGTTACTTGAGGTGCCCATGCCGATCCATAGGGCTAGGTCGTCGGATGAGCTGGTGGGCGCCTGAGGTACGACGATGGTGTAAGTCGATTCGCGGATGAAGTTTCCGGAGGAAACGGGTCCAGTGCTGAAAGCGGGGCCGAATTCGTTAGCGGTTGCGGTTGCGAGGGCCGCGGCGGCGGAGAGGAGGGTGAGCTTGAGGGAGGGCATTTTGGGGGTTGGTTTGAATGGAACACGGGCGATGATTGCAGAGAGAAGCGAATGAAAGACGAACAGAAGAATTGGACAGAGCAATGATTGAATATATATCAAAGTATCATTGCAGGGGAGTGCACTGAACTACCATGCTTAACATTGACAATATTGACAAGCTTTCATTTAGACTACGCGAAAATGTAGGCCGCGGCATCTGTGCGTTATCGTACTGTCGCCCTATAGGAGCAAAATTGCCTAAAGTGGTTCAGGAACAGCTCACAGGCGCAGGCAGTCTTCGTAGACAGTGCCTCTATTTGTGGGAAATTGCGCGCCCTCCAATCCGGGAGATGAATACCCCTGCTTCACAACAACCTTGTTCAGAACGCTTCAATAACTTCAGGCATTCTATCACTAAGCTTTTCGTTGTGACTTTAATGCTACAACTCTTAGGTTCTATCCCAGTTTGCGCAGTAGCCGCCCCATCCACCACCAGCTCTCCCAGACCTAGCAGCAGCCTTCCCAATCTTCGCCGCCTCCTCATTCCACCTGTCACTCGCCGTAGCCCTAGTCCTCGGCCGCTGCTTGTACCCGCCATTGTGATAAGTTCCATCGCCTTGGTACTCGAACTCAATCTCTTTCCCGCGCTTGTCTGGGACATCGAACCTGTCGAGCCAGCGATTGAGGTGAGCACGACTATCTTTGGCACCTGCGGTGTACGATATTGTAATGCGGATCTTGCGTTTGGACTTTGCGTCGTCTTGCTCTGCGGCTTTGGATCCCCGGGAGCTTAGCCGGGTGAGTTGGGCTTGCGATAGGCGGTTGAGGAAGGTGACCACATGAGCGAAGTTGTGGTTCCGAACTGTGGTCGTTATGACAGGAGCGTGGAAGAGGATGGCATCGAGAAACTCTTCGCAAAGCTGGTTGTTGACTCCCACGAGGCCGCAGCGGGTGGCAATGTTGCGGGAACCGGATTTGAGAGTTGTAGAGCCGTCGTGTTCTAGAACGTGCTTGTATATTTCATCGCGAAGCTCGCGGGGGAGTGCGAGAAATGGAGGTAAAGGCTGATTTTGCGGCCTTGGTCGTGTTGGTAGATGTTCTGTGATAGACTCGGTGGCTTCAGGACTTTTGTGCTTTTTGGATGTTGGAGCATCTTCTATAGTATCTTCCGCTGCAATGAATTTGCGCCCACGTTTCCTACCAGTTGGCGCATCGTTGGCGGTTGCCTCGGGCATGGACTTTGTGGCTTGCTCCACGGTCTTCGAAGAGGTTTGGTTGCGCTTGGAACGCCTGAGTTCTGGAGCCATGTTGAAAAGGGTCTTGGGCTTTTTGGATGTTCATTTCGGTGGTCATCGTGGACATTTATTCGCTGCACGCCAAGAAGGCACAGACATTCCTTCAGGCAGCAGTCAGGCGACCGTGGCGCTAAAGCGGTTTACGGACCAGTGGTAAACTGAAAGCCTACTTTGACGAGAATTTGCTACAAGGCTCCAAGTGCAATTAATGAGGCTATACGTGCCCACTGTGTGCTTGCAGAGGCATTGCACGTGAGTTAGGACGGACCTCGGGATGTCAGCTCGTTGCTCGAGGCTAAGGCCAGAAGTTCGTCAAGAATATGTGCGGATATCTCGAAGCATTGAAGACATATCACGGGAATATTTCGAAAATACAGGAAGGAACCGGAAAAGTTATCCATATGCGGTTCTCTCATGATAAACTGCTGCTGTTTCAGCAGATGATGTCATCCGCGCTAACGCCTGAACATCTTGGCACCAGCCTGTGAACGCCTGGAGACGTAGAGTCATTTCCAGCCTACATATCAAACCTAGCCTGAGCACCACAATGTCGAAAACAAAGCCCTTTCCCGCCATCCACGGCGGCTGCTTCTGCGGCTCCACGCGATACCGTCTAGAGTGCGCGCCTTTGTTCTGCCACGCATGCCACTGCCAGGACTGCAATAAGCACACGGGCTCCGTCTTCGCATGCTTTACGACTATAGAAGCCGAGTTCATCTCCTCCATTGGGAAAACGCCTCCCAAGATCACCAGAGTCGCCCGCCCGAATGGGATCAGCCGGCATCTCGCTTCTTGCGGCACGTGCGGCACGAGACTCTGGGCTAGCGGCGATATCACGCCGGTCACGGCGGATATCAATACGGGGACTCTGGATCTGCCGGAGATTATGGAGCCTGACGTTCATGAGTACATTGAGAGCAAAATTTCTTGGGTGCTGCTTCCCGAAGGGGCGAAGACGTGTAAAGGGCCATTTGACTATAGGGAGTACTGGCCGAAGAGCAGTCTGAAGAGGTTGGAGGCCGCGGTCCAGAGGGCTCAAGAACGCCGAAAACTACTAGCGAAAGTCGCGCAGGCCGGTCAGGAAACTGAAGAGGAGAAGGAGGCTGATAAGACGCCGACTGCGCAGACGCCGGACGAGAAGGATGGAGTGGTTGAGGATGACGAGGAGTTCGAGAAGAGGTACCTCGAGACGGAGAAGGCGCTTCAGGAGAGGCTTGAGCAATTGAGTCTGAGGTTGAATGAGAATGAGAAGGTTCAGGGGGATGACTTACGTCCTGGCGTTGTTCAGCCTGCGAAGGAACCGGAGACAGCAGCAGAAGGACAAGCACCGGCGGCGACCGGCCCCGAGAACTGATTCATACTGGGCTATTTCCTGACACGAGTCGCTCAAGAAGGAGTTTGGCGGTGGGTGTTGAGGTGTCCACTTTCAAGATTTTGGATATGATACCACTACAGATATATGCTCTCACAATGTATCCTTGAGACCAGATTTTCGTAGCACAGTAGTCATATTTTTGCCAAGAAGTTATACTTCCGAATAGTATTCAATGATTGAGATAGACCTGTCTCACCCTGGGCATGCTTTTACCACACACCTTTCATGTACCGAACCACTGCTCTCGAAGCATGCCCCACACAACACTGCGTATGGTTGCTCCGTGCCATGCCACTGATATGAGGGCTTATACGATCATCTCTGCCCCCATCATTCCTCCTTCTATAACAAGCACGTCACGAGCTCCTTGTCGTAGCTTTCTTTCTAGTCGCTTCAAAGGAGCATCGTATGTCGTACCAGTCTCACAAGACTAGGCCCTTAAATCTCGTTCTGCGCTACAGAAGGAAAAACGATAGAGCAACTTCTAAACAGCCCAACATTCACGCCCAGACGCACTAAATTGAAGGAGGAAAGAGTCGAACTCGCGAAGCAGGCACAATGCAATTCCTGTATCTTTTGTATAGTCCAGCATGCAAATACTCTTCCCAATGCTACCCACCCGCTATGCAAACACACCCGTCCTCCCCCTCCATCCCTGCCGCAACGTCCTCACCTTTTCCGCCCCAACATCTCCCACCCAAGCCCATCCCTCCTCCTCCCTCGTAATTTGCTCCGCCGCCTTCACAAGATCGAACGTGATCTCCTCCCCAACCACGCTATCCTTCTCATACTTTGGATGGCTCTGCACAAAATGCCGAATCCACTTCGCCGCCGTCCAGTACGTCCCGTCCGCGCGCTTGCGGATCAAATCCAGGTACCGAGCAAGCTCGCAGCGCGTCTCGACGTCGACGTTCATGCTGTCGAGGTAGCTCTCTACGAGGGGGATCAGACCCGGGAAGCAGTCCTTGCCACTGTCGGCGGACGTCTGGCCGTTGATGACTTCATTGATGGTCATCTGCTCGTATTCGTCTTCAACGGGGCCGAAGGGCGTGGGCGGGCGGCTGCCTTCGGCGGGAGTGGACGTCCCCGTCGAGTGTGAGTGCGAGCCAAAGGGGTTCTTGCGGAACCAGAATTTCTCGGTCGACAGGGCGTCGCGCTTGTGAGCGGTTTCCATGTTCTCTGTTACGCGCTGGATGGGGAGGTAGAAGTTTAGGTTGAAGCTTAGGATTGCGCGCGTGATGAGGACGATGAAGATGCTGAAGGCGGCGTTTTCGAAGTCGGTGATTTGGATTTCCATGGGGCGGAACTCGACGCGCCAGCCCATGTCGGAGTTGGGCGGGGGTGGCTTGAAACGCATGTGTTGCCAGTTGGTGGATTGGAGGTTTTCGAAATGGTCGGCTTTGGAGAGGTCCAGTGTTTCGAGATCTTCAGCGAAGACGACGATGGGGTCGCGGATGAAGAGATGCGCGAAGTGTGTGGCAAGGAGGTCGTCCATGCCGCCTTCCACTAGGCGCTTCTTGATGTCTTCATCGACCACCAGATCTGGATCGAGGTACTCGCGCCTTAGGCGTGGATCCTGCGATATGTATGTTGAGTTAGATGCATAGCGGGACTTTGGCAGCCGCCATCTGTCGTTCTCGAGGGGCTAGGGTCTTGTTAGTGTTTGAAGACCAGACAGAGAAAACTCTGGGGGTTGTCTTTACCTTCTCGCCAAGCTCTTCTGGTGTTCGATCGTCTACTGCTCGACTGATTTGATTCCATCGAACATCAGTGTCAGCGAGGAAACCCTTATAGATCGGTGTCGCAGCCGTCAATGCAAGCAAGATTGGGCCAAGAGGGCTCAGCTGATCGTACATCGTGCGACCCTCTTGAATGTTCTTGGCTTGGAATGTTATCTGCAGGCAGCAGCTTCCCATACCAAACGCCATGGCATCCATGTAGATGTGGTTGTCCTTGGCAGCGCCATTGCGAACATCGTCATCCTCAGGCCATTGATGGAGGTCATAATTCACAGTGGGATCTTTGAAGGGCCATTGGGTCTTCTCGTCTCTGAAAACAGGTACATTGATCTCAACTTTCCTGCCTCTTCGCCAGCGGATGTTGGCTGCCAAGGTCGGGAAGCGAATATGCGGGTTAGCGATCTCATCGGGTACATACTGAGATCGTAGCTTCGGGCCGGATGCAGGGTACGATGGCACTATGCAGTCAGGCGAGCCGAGCCGTGGAAAGGTGGTCAGAGTGATTGGATACTCGGTTTTCTCCATGTGTTCTCTGGCTATTGTTCGTCTGCAGCAGATCAGTGCTGCTTCGGGGCATGTTAAGCGAGTCAAAATGTTACCTCCACTTCATGTTGGGTTCAACATCGAGTAGGTCTTTGAAACCGATACCCCATGGCTTTCCAGGGGTGGCTTCCAGCATGAAGCGGCCGAACTCGGGATGAAAGACAGGGGCGGTAGTCTCGGCCTCCCTTACGATGTCAATGATGCGAGTAACATTTGGGGGCGCCGATTCTCACTTGACAGGGCCTCTTTGCACATCAGGGACGCCGCCGCCTTCTTGCAGCAGCTTCTCGTCGTTTGCTAGCGCGGCGAGAATGTCGGCTTGTCGCAGCGACAGACGGACCTTGCGGTTCTGCTCATCGTAGCACACGACAAGATATTCGATCTGGTGATTCCATCAGTCACAGGTCGCACGACTGAAGGACCAGATCGCACCTCGTCACCCCAGAGCAATGCTGCCCTCTCTTTGCCCTTGGCGTTTCCCCAAATAGCAAGGAGTTGCTGGACACGTCAATGTATTGCTCCAAATGTGCCGCATCCAGTGCAATGCACGTACTTCGATACCCCAGGATCGGACTTTACTGGCGACCTTTTTGGCCTCTGGCCACTCCAGCGGGGTTCCCAAAGCGCTTGCGTGCCGTTAGCTAGCATATCAATGCGGTGGTGCACGGTCTCACAGCAGCCCCATTCCCAAACGGCGTGTGTGAAGGCCAAGTTCCCGTCCCGTACAGAATGGGGATCTGTGAGTGGTGGGCTGTCCCCTAGGATCTTGAGGAAGACTCGGGGCGTACTGCAGAAATCTAAGTTTAGCGGGGTACCAACAGCGCAGGACTGCAAAGTTCAGACGCGCCGCGGAGGAGCGGTTACGTGCTGCGCCCTGGTGATCGGTGTGATAGAAGGTGTAAAGGCACAGCTGCTATAGAATGGCGATTTTAGGTGCCGACATAGGGGTGATGAGTAGAGGGACTGGATTAGTAATGAGCGGGTGCATGTGAGGACCCGTGGACCAACTAACCCCGCTGAGTAAAGCATGTGGCAGGACCCGAGGGCGCCCGCTCGCGCTTTCCGCTTTCGCTGCGTGTAAACGAGGAGCCGCCCGCCGCGTCGGAAGCCCGACAGATGTCCTCTGCTCTCCTCCAGGCCATGCGCGACGTGGGACGATGCCGGTGACGGCGCTTCGGGCATCACAGCAGCAGCGCGTATACACCGGAATCGCTTGAGCCTGTCCCGTCACTTTCGCTTCCCCACGTGCGCTGCTCTCCGACAGAGCCTGTGGACGCGAATGGACCAGAAGCGCCCGTCCCGCTAGAAGCTGCATGCTCGTTTCTGAGCGCTCTCTGGTTGGCCTTTCGGCACCAATGCGTGCCTGCCGCAAGCGAAGACAGCTGCAGGGCCATGCAGGTCTGAGTCGCCTCGAAAAAGAGATATATCGCTGTGGGGTGGGGCATATTGTGTTGAGCGCTCATAACCACAGTGAACGCTATCGGGCGTGGCTCCGCGTCGGTCGCACCGCAGCCAATCTGTGATTATCGATCTGGCGTTACGTGGGGCCATCATCTGAGAAGAGCAGTGCGACCACGCCGTTTTCTTTGCACTGCACACGTCATCTGTAGCTCTTACTAACATGTAGAGACAGTCGACGACATCTGACCGAAGCTAACAATTAGCGTAGACATTTTACCGACACCACAGATGGATACATGGGTCTTGTGTTACGGAAAACCATAGTCCATCCCCGTCAGCGGCTGCTACCAGCTGCTCTTCGACAAAAACACCTAGTTCCACACGTGCTGCTAGAGTGCCTGGTCATGAGCGCAGATACTCATGAGGCTGCGAGAAGAAGACAGGGTGGCGAAGAGCTTCATGGTGAAGGAGATAACAATGCAATATGTGATACTCACGATACTCCATGGGTGTGAGGGCTCAGGATTGTTTCACTGGACCTTCTCGATTACCGAAGCTATTCACAGACCTTCACTGTCGCTGTCTCGTAGGAATCGTCAATCAAGGCTACCTCATCCGCCTTCTTTTCACTCGCTTTGTCCGCACCCAAGAGCCTACAACGACCAACATTCCGCGTCAAGAGACACTAAGAAATAAAAACGGCGAGAGGGTAGCGCTGTAGTATCAGGCTGAAAGCCTTTGATACTACCCAACGTATCACGAAAACGACCAAGCAGTATACGAAAACTCCTGCCCTGGCAGCAATTAATTCGCTACTGCTTATTCTAATAGTGGCGTCGTTCCAGAAATCGATCTACGCGTTGGCACCTTCTAGCTCCCGACGCTCTCTCGTATACACGATGCTATTTCACGGCCCGCTCCCACCATGGGGCCGTTCCGGTGTCATTGAGGCGGAAACGAAGCCTGCCATGCGGGCTATTGCGTCATTTGAAGAAATTTGGGCATCGAGCTGGTTGACTGAGTTGCGGGACTCACTTATTGCTCCATTGGTGGAGTGTAGTCGGGGTCTGGGATAGTTCAGCCGCACCAACACCAAGACCTGAGGTCCATGTCGACGATCCTAGGCCAACGTTATCCCGATGCAGTGGCAATTAAGATCTAGATGCACCTTCGAGAGCCAGATCGTCACAGTCATTCGTAACGAGAAAAGAAACAAATTGCGGCAAGATCACCGTTTCGAGAATCCGTTCGATGAATGTCGTCAGACCTCCACACGCAAGGAACGCCAACAACAACATCTGAACCTTATCTCAACATGACTCGCACGATTGACGCGTCCCCGTGAAGACACAGCAGGAGATATCCTCGCATAGCCTCTAAAGTCATCCTCGTGCCCGCATCTCCGGCCGCAACCGTGATATTCCCTAGTAACCCAACCTCTCGCCCTGCCACGACAGCATTTTCGATAATCTGCCTTGCACAAACCCAAAGGTAGCGGCCCACCCCCTCGGTACGACTCCAACTACGTAACGTCTACACCCCTCGCGGGAAATACACCACGTGCCATTCCCATCCCAGCCCGACCACCCACCTCCGTCCTTTTCCCCTCACCTCACCCGCAACGCAAATCAACCCAACTCCTCGCCCCCACCCTCCCCGTCTCCGCCCACGCCTCACGAGACAAGCCCGTACCACCCCCGCTGGGGAGTTTTCGAACGTCACGTCGTAGCAGCCTCGTAGTAGGGAGGATCAGCATCAGATCAGACGCCGCAGCCTCCCCGCGCCGCCGGCGGTGCAACAGCGATAGATCTCGTCAGCGCAGTCCGCCGATCTGAGCGAGCGGGCCTCCTGTGCGCCGCAGCGCGGTGCAGCAGCGCAACGCAACGCCGCACGGCGCACACGCGGCGTTGCGCGAATGCGGAAGGGGAAGCGAGGGTTGTGCGACGGGGATCCCGGGGTGGGCGAGGTCGCCGTCAGTCGCCGGCTGTGAAGGGGCGAGCACGAGGGGGAGGGACGTTGGCGTTGGGGAAGGGAAGAGAAGAGAAGGGAGGGAAGGCGAGGGAGGGTAGAGTAGATAGACAGATGGGCGGACGTGCTGCGGGGTCGATCGAAGAATCTGGGGATAGCGTCCTAGACGAAATAGAATAGAATAGATAGATAGATAGATAGTAGGCCCGCACCGTAGAATGTAAAATGTTGTTAGCAGCCCTCACGCCAGACTAGACTTCCGGGGAGGTCGTCCGGCGAATCACATCTCCGCTGGACGACGCTCCGAGACAATCCATCGCAGTGCTTCCGAAGCTGCCCTGCGATGCGCCGTCTTGCATGGAATATGGAATACAGTTCTGAAAGCGGAAAAACCCGCGAGCGAACGAGCGAGCTTCGTAAAAGCAAAGGCATGCCATGCAAGGCAAGATGCTGTGACCGCTTTGCTGTGAGAACGCGCAGTCGGTGCTATCACTCGCTATCGCTGTGTAGCGTCGCCCTGCAGCGGGAGAAAAAAGCAAAAGCAAAACAGAGGCGGGGCCGAGGTCTGTCTTCAAGGCGTATGCTGACTCGTTGCAATTGCTCGTGACGTGGAAGTGCATGGTCATCTGAACGAAGGCAGACTGTTGATCAACAGCGGTAGCTTTGTGAATTTGCGTCTCTCTCTCTCTCTCTCTCTCTCTACCTCACGTATCACCTTCCTTGTACTTTTTCTTCTCTTCGTACCGTACGCTTCGCTAGCCTATCATGACAAAAATCCCACGCTTTAGTCCTGTCCTGCACACTCCTAACAAAGTGCGAACTCTGCTCTGCTCTGCTCTTCGCATCTATCACCCAGTGAACATGCCTCCAAGAACACAAACGCCGTAACCGGGTGCAGGCCTGAAAGCCGGCGGTATCTCCGCTCCAATGCTGGTATAATAACACCCACAAGAAAAGAACCGAAGTATCTCCAAAGACGATTAAATGTACAAAGCTTTCCGTGTCTCTAAAAAGACGAGGTGACGGCGCGATGAGGGCATAGAACGAGGTACAGAGTCCGTAAATGCAATAATGTTTTGGCGCCATGGCTCCGTTCCGGTGAATGACTGAACTGATGAAAGACGATGCGTGTGATGTGAATATGTAACGCCAAAATCTGGTATGGTATAATGTAGCCTAGCGGATCCTAGGACGCAGCTGGTGAAATGTCCTTTTGTGTGCTGGCTGGTGACCACGGCCAAGATGCCGGGCGGAGAATGACTGGTGTGCTGAATCGGCCAATGCGCAAATTCGGAGACTCGTAAGCAATGCCGATGGACGCTATCCAGTGGGCGATCCTTGGTCGAGCGATTTAGGTCGCAGATTCGAGCTCGTCATGGGCGGTTTGCCACCCATTTTGCGCGTCAACTTTGCGTAGTCTACCTCTATTAGCTTGAATGCAGAAGAACTTGACTCGGAAACGTACGAAGACCACATGCATTGCACAGAGTTCTTGCACCATCAGGCCCGCGTCGCCATTCGGGGGTCTCGGCTCGATTACAGCTATGACACCTTCCTGGTGGTGCCGCTCGCTGCGTTGGCTTGTTAGGGATGAGTTCAGGTTTGCTTCTACAGCGTGGGAAGAAACTTACCCCACGACGCTTCTTGGGATCGGGGCCCGCGAAGCCTCCAGCACCCTTCGGGTCATCGCCATAGTTGCTCTGAACATCGTGCTCATATCCATTCATTCGTGCATATCGCGGATCCTGTGGCGGTTCCACGATGCTGGCTTGGTGGTTGAATACGACCTCTCGCATCCGCTGTAGTGAAATTTGTACGCTTTCATTGTGCTTCAGCATGTCGTCCACTTCTTCTAGCCTCGGCATAGATTGTGGAGTCATGCCGATCCGCTGAGTGTCGTGACTCCGTTGTCTGTAGAGTCTACTAAACTCTGAGATGCGGCCCGCACCTTCAGCGATCTAGACAAGTTAGTGTGACGACTGTGAAGGAAAGTTGCTGTTCTCACCTCATTGAGAGACGCTTCTAGGTCGAAAACTTCTAAATGCCTCTTCACTGATTCTCCATAGGGAGCGAGACTGGCTCGGTTGACCTTCTTTTCTTCGGGGCGGCCATGCCATTGTCCAGCGTACGGACGCGGAGGCGCAGAATATGTCGTTGCTGACGGTGGGTACGTTGGATTTTGCGCTCCTGGGGCAGGCGCTGACAATGGATAACTAGACGGGTACTGCTGCTGGTAGCCATAGTTGGGATTCATTGGTCCAGCCGAGTGAGGCGCGACCGATTCGTACGTGGCAGACGATTGCGGCGGGTAGTTGT